CGGCCCTCTCTCACCGCTGCGGCCCGCCTCGCCCTGCGGCAGCGGAAGCGAGAGTCAGCACTGAGCGCCCGGAAACCCCGCCTCCGCCTCCGCCCCGGGGCACGCTGGGAATTGGAGTCCGCTTCCGGCAACGCGGCGGCGGGAGCTGACGGCGCCTGCGCACACCCAAGCTGGGTCCACTAGGAAGGGTGAAGTTCACGTGCAGGCAGTTTTGCTGTGGTTTGCATCTTTACACCATCTCCCCTCCGGGGGGACCAGAGCCATCTCTGAGAAGCTGCTGCTCTCCCGAGCCTCACACCTCTGTGCCGCACGCCACCCATCAGCTGGGAAACCTCTATTGCTCCATGGTCTCTTCATTTCGCTCTCCCAGTATTATTTGGGTCACATATTCCATAGGTTGGCAGGGGACCGTTTGCATGGTCGGAACCCCAGCTGGGTTGTTGTCTATCTAAGGTACTTACCTGGCTCCATCACTACAGTAGCTAAGCATCTCACAGTGCTTAGTGTATTTCTTCTCACCCCCCATCTTCCCCCCCAGGGCAGCACTATTATCCCCATTGTATAGATGGGAAACTGAGGCACAGAGTGGGGCAGGGACATCCCCAATGTTATGCAGTACAGCTAGGAATATATGCCACAACTCAGCCCTCTCTTCACTGGACCACACTGCTCCTGATTGTGTTTGAAGCCAAGTCAGCCGGAATCATTCTTAAACAGGGTTCATACAGGGTTCAAAGCCCAGCGCGGCTGGCCTGTGCATCCAGAGTTCTGAGCAGCCGCCCTCCCCGGTCTTCTAACCTTGCCTTAGATGGGGAACATAGACACCTAATGCTCCTCCTGTTTCAACTCCTGTTGAGGATGGTGCTGCCTTAAGGGAAGGGAACAGCCCCTTGTGTGCATATCCTTTTTCTACAAAGTTTATATTTAATCCAACTAGAATCTCAGGCGGTAAGTACATTGCATTTGTCTTTCAATTTGCACCTGACCATACAGGACACCACAGGATCCTGCCAGCATTGCGAACTGGATCTGGCTGGAAAAGATGAAGGGGTTTTGCCCGCTCACGGGGGCAGCTAGCTGTTTACTTCCACTGTGGTGCGATCTGAGGGCGCTCCGCACTTTTAAAGAGCAGGCCCCTCGGCCATGCTTCATGTTCTCCATCTCTGATGCTTAAGTCCCATGGGAGGTAAGTGAAGAGGAATCTTCTCATTAACGTTGGGATCCCCTGATGAAACGAGCTACCCAGCTGTAATGCGGTGGCGAGATGTTTGCACAGACATGGGGCCTCATTCCATGTTGCCCTCTACCTCATGTATTCATTCACACCAGTACCAAGCAGGTGTGCAACACTGATTTGGTAGTTTTACACCCCCACTGCACAGGTACAAAAGGCTACACAAGATGCAGGGCGCCAGAGAACCAGCCCTCTTGCATCCAGCCAGCAGACACACAATCAAGGCCAAAGCAGAGAACAGAGCACAGCATCATGACTGGCTTCTAATGAGGAAGCCTCAACTGGGGAGAGATGGTGAACCTGACTGTCAGTCACGCTCTGGTCCCTTTGTGCTGCTCTGGCAGTGCAGAGGGACCTTAAAATGAGCAGAACCAGCTCCCTGGAAATCCTCCCTGCGCAGGAGCCATCCTAGCTGGTATGGAGCTTGCATAAGGGTTCGGTATCCACCCTGCTCCCTGTCTCCAGTGGAGGAGGCATGGTTGGAACATACTGCAAGGGCCATTGGAGGCAGAGCAAAAATGAGAGTAGCCCTGAGGCTGTTCTAATTTACAGCAGAGGTCTGGCAAGCCCCCAGAACATGGGCAGCATAAAGAGGCTTCAAGTCACCTGAACCCCTAGCCCTAGGGGCATGGGCAGAGTGACCTCAAATCAGACTCAATGCATCTCTCCATAAGCGCATTGCTGTCGCTTCCCGTGCTGCTCCCCACAAGGACTATGCAGCCTTCGGAGGAAAACTCACACTGAAAGTATTTACAATAGGTTTACTTCCAAGAGCCCTATCAGTTGTCATGGTAACACAAACCCCAAACCTGTAGCTATACACTTGATAGCCAGCGCCAGAGTGAACGCAAAGGAGACGAGGCCGCAGGGATGAGACAATGGGAATCAAAGCTAGTCACCAAACCTATGGATATGTTAGGTGGGAGAGGAGGCTGAGTTTTGCAGGCCCTCCGGGTCTCTCTGCTCCTTCCCCTTCTCCTCGTCGCTAGCCAGAAGCAAGTTCATGGATTCCTGCAAGCCTTCCAGGATGCTCAATTGTGCCAGAGCGATCTGGGTTTGGATCTGGATGTTGTTGTGCATGCACTCCAGTAGGCCGTAACAATCCTGTGGCTGATGATCAGGGGCTGGAGAAAAACGGGGCAAAGCGCTGGTTTGTTTTCCCCTTCCTCCAATGCTAAGTGATTCTTAATTCTATTGAAATTTTGCCTGTTTACAGAAACTTGCATCCCAGAACCTCGCTGTGCTGTGCCACAGACCAGTGCACAGGGTATTATCCCCATTTTACAAATGGGGAAACTGAGGCACCAAGCAGGGAAATGATTCGCCCAAGGTCACACAGACCTGGGAATAGATCCTAGGAGTCCTGGACTCCTAGTGCCTTGTCCTAACCTCTAACCCTTGCTCCTGCCCAGAACCAGGATAAACTCCAAAAGTCCTGACTCCTAGCCCCCTACTCCTTACCGCTAGAGAACACGCCCTTGCCAAAGCTGGGGTAGTTCCAACACTTACTGAATTTTTTCTGTCCTTTCCTGGCAGCCTGGGCACAGGGTAGACCTGGGCTGGGCCTCCGTTGGGAAGATGGAAGCTCAAGAAAGCTGGGGGAGGGTTTGGCAGGACATAGCTTCTTAAAAGAAGAGGAAGGGCCTTCGAAGTTATCCTCTCCTGTCAAAAAAAGGCTTTGTATTACAAGGATGTTTTTCCCTATTGAATAATAATCCCTAGCTCTTGTGTAGCATTTTTCTTCAGTAGGACTCCAAGCACTTTACAAAGGAGGCCAGTATCATTATCCCCATTTTACAGATGTGGAAACTGAGGCACAGAGCGGCAAAGCCCAAGGTCACTCAACAGGTTGGGGGCAAAGCCAGGAGTGGAACCCAACTCCCGAGTCCCAGTCCATCCACTAGGCTAATAGACTTACTATGTAGCATATTATGGATCTATTCCTTGTCACTTACACTAGTGCAAAACACCACCATTCTGATCCGGTAGCATTTTACAGCAGCTTCGCACTGGTGAAAATGACGACAAAAGATGTAGGGTGATGAAAAATCAGGCTTTAGTTATTAATGCTGCTTTGTAGACATTATCCAATTAATCCCTACCCCACTCCATGGAGAGGGAAATCCTGATAATTTTACAGAAGGGGAAATTGAGGCATAGAGGATGACATGATTTGCCCGAGGCCACACAGCAAGTCGGTAGCAGAGCCTGGATCGGAACCCAGGAGTTCTGACTGTGCAGTCAGGAGCTCTTGCCACAACATCATACTGCCTCTCAGGTAATGTGTAGGACATACCATGGATAAAATACAGTTTTATATATATTCCTTTGTTGTTGTTGTTTTCTGTTTAAATGACAAACGGGGATCCCTAATAGAAATCACCCATTCTCAGAGTGCTGGACCTGCTTTGCCGTGTTACCAAAATGATATAGCCAATATATTATGTATTTTTAAGAGAATCCATACCTATACTAAACTTCACCATTTTCCCCAGCAACCTCAATACTGAAATATATTAACAACTGTGTAAGTTTTGTTCTTGGTGCATACAGAGAAAGTAGTATTTTGCTGGGGTTTGTGAAAATAATAACCAACTGATATAACTGTTGCTAGAAACCAGGTACAAATTTCCAAC